ACTGCGCCGAGGCCAGCGCTCCCATGGACGGAGAGGGGGCTGCTGCCAGCCCCCTCTCGGGCCGCCGACGGACCTGCCCCCGCTGCCTCTCGCCCCGCCAACCCCCCTGTAACACAGGATTAGTGTAGTAAGGACCTTGCAAAGGTAATGTTATACCCAGCTCCTCGGGCGATGTTTTCTTATTATACTAACTGGAAAAAAAAAGTCCCTGTTGTAAAAAGAATGATAATGATGATAATAATAATATTAATGCCGCTGATGGTAATCAAATGTAAATGATTCCTTAAAATGTATGTAAAAGGAAAAAAGAAAGACATGGTTGTCGTTGTAGTTTTAGCAACTAAGAGACAATGAGATCAGTTTGGGGTTTTCCCCCCTTCTTTTTCCTGGCTTTTCCTTTCTTTCCTTTCGCACGGCGACACCTCCGAAATTTCCCGCTCCAAACCTGGCTGCATCAGCGCAGCGGCGGCCCAAGGTAGCCCAGAGAGTGCATGCATGCTTCCCACCCCAGCTTGTCACCAGCGGGGACCGGCCACAGGCAGCTCCCCTGGCAACAGGGACTTCCGAGACAATTCACTGAAGTTTTCGAGTGTGGTTTATAGTTTGGGGGTTTTGTGCCTGGGTGTTGTTTTGTTTCTTTCTTTCTTTGTTTCCTCCTAATTTCGCTGTGATGCTGTTTTGTTTGCGGTACTTTTTCTTCTTCCCTCTGTGAAGGAAAAAAAAAAAAGAGGAAAATAGTGCAAAACACAACACAACCATCCTGCCGATCTGTTTTGCCAAATCTCCGATCTCCTGTTCTCAGTGAAGTGTGCTACTTCAGCTGGCTGGGGTACTAATTTCTCATGCTGGCTTTGGGGTTTTTTTTTGTTTTGTTGTTTTTTGGGGGGGTTGTTGTTGTTTGTTTTGTTGTTGTTGTTGTTTTGGGGTTTTTGTTTGTTTGTTGTTTGGGTTTTTTTTTTGCATTGCTATAGTTTGGGTTAGCGTGCGGAGTCAGCTCTTGCAACATCAGTGAGTTGTAGAACTAAATCGGAAGCTTTGTTGCTGTTTATTTCCTTTCCGGTACTTTTTCCTGGGATTTTGCTTGAAATAATGTTATTATTAATTTCGATTGTTGGTTTGTTTGTTTGTTTTCGGTTGGGGCCTCAAAGACAACACCGTGTCTTTATTTTTTATATATTCTTGATAACTATCAATATATTTATTATTGACCAGTGTTTCTGGATGAGATTTCCAAATAAAATAAAAAATAAATTCCAAACTGACTGTTTCGCTTTTGTCCGGGACTGGACGCTCAGAAAAGGCGCCGTATTTGATCGCTTTGGGTTTCGCCAGGACTCCCCCAGCCCAGACTAGGAGGAGGTCGGCGCATCCCCGTGTGCGGCTTGGGAGCAGCCACGAGCCCGACGTGCTCCGCTGTGTGAGAGCTGCCGGGCAGCTTCCGGCAGTTTTCCACTGGGCTGGGAGCCGGCAGGAATTCAGCCGATGGCCGGTCCCACAGACAGAGCCAGGCGGCGGGAGGACGGGCCGCGAGCACCACTGGGAGGGGCGCTGGGGCTTTTAGGGGCAATAACTTTTTTTTTTTTTTTGAGATCCAGCTGTCGGCCCTTTTCCGGGAGGGAAATGGCGAGATGGACAGGGTTGGGATAGGCATCTCTGCCCCGCCGGGAGGCGGTGCTCCATGGGGAGCAGCGCGGCATCCTCGAGGGAGCGCGGCTGGTGATTCCCAGCGCCCTCTGGCTCCTCGCACGGGAGCGGGTCCTGCACCCCCCACCCAGACCACGGGCCCCTGTCTTACGCGAAAGGGAATGTCCGGGAAGGGCCTGAAGAAACACGGAGAAGACAACTCTCCCTGATTCGCAAGGTGAGTAGTGAGAGAGGAAGGATGGGTGGAGCATTTAAACCGAAATGCCAAACAATTTTTGAAGGCACCTGTGGGTGATCCGTGCCGGTGAACTGCAGCACTCAAATCAAGATTAAGAGATAAGCACCCAAACGCAAACATTTGAAAATGAAAAGAAAAAAAAGAAGAATGTATATTTGCCTCGAAAACATACTGAACTAACAAATCATGTTCTGAGAAATCACTCCCGGGTTGAAGTAAATCCTTACTGTAATTCAGCAAGATGATCAAGATATGCTGCAATTTCCCTCCCTCCTTCCCTCCTTCCCTGCTTCCCTTCTTCCTTCCTTCCTTCCTTCCCTCCCGTTTTCAGCTGTTTTCAGTTTTTTCGCCGCTGACCAAGTCACGGCGGTGTCCGGTCCCCGCCCGCCCCAGTCTCAGGGATTAGGGAGTCCTGCCGCCGGGGAGGGGGCACAAGACAGGGAGGTGGGCAATGAGACTGATGGGTGCAACCTGTGCTCCGTAAGGTGCTGTCCTTGAGGAGAGGGCCGGCGGGGTGATCCCCTTGGGCCGTCGGAGCTGTGCTCCGGGCTCTGTGCAGGACGCGGGCAACCCGCCCCGCCGTCCCGGTGGGAGAGGCTGGGCTGGAGCCTCTGCCCGGCCCCGGCAGCCAGAGGCACTCTCACACACACTCCTCCCTTTCCCCTGGCGGCGCTGCCTGAGCAGAGGGCAAGCACAAGCCGGGGGAAACCCGGCAGAGGAGCGGGGAGCCGCGGGGAGCGGCCTGCGGGATGCCAGTCCGGACGCGGGGCCGCCGACTCCTCCTCAGCTGACCCGACTGTCCCCGACGTATCCCTCCATGCGGGGCTGACACGGTTGGAGCACAAAGCCACGATCCCCCCGTCCCCGCATCCTCCATCTTTCCGACCCCGGTTCCCCCTCGGCCCTGCATCCTTTCCCCTGGAGTGGGGCGAGCGGGGCAGCGTTGGAAGCGGCTTCTTCTGCTTCTGTCCCTTGACTGCGCCTGCCAACAGCTTACCGAGCCTGCGACGCGACTGGGCTGCAAACGACAGTTGAGAGGAGGGCGAAGTCACCCTCTCTGTCCAGGAGCCGGCAGTCAGGTACCCGGGACCCGCCGCTATCCCCAGCAGTGCTGCCTTGCCCTAAAGTATCTCTGCCGCTCGGCCCCTCGGTCCTGGGGACGGAGGGCGCCTTGCCTCAACAAAAGGTCTCTTTGGAGACATTTGACCCCCACTTAGCCACACAGAACCGTCCCGGCCTCTGCCTCGCATTCCCTGGCAGCGCCGGGCTGTTTTCCAGCCGCGAAACAAGAGTGGGTGAACAGGCTTCTTCGCGTTTTTCCGTAGCAAAAGCGACCAAGCAGCTGCATGAGCCTGAGACAGGATTTTGAGTCGTCAGGAAAGGGGTGGCAAATGTCCCGTCCCCCAGGCTCCCATGCGGCAGCGACGTACTCCAGGAGGTGCGAGTCAAACGCCAGAGACTCGCCTCCCCGGTTTCACGTCCTGACCTGTGGAGAAGGGAAAATTGAAAGAACATCTGAAGAGATGTAGTTTCCTTATCCTTTTCGATGGGTCGGGAAACGCTGAGCAACTTGGAGATATGATGCTGCAGGCAAGGAGGCACCTTTGGAGAATCCCTTCCCTTCCCAAACCTTTCCAAACTTTCCCTTCTCTTCCCAAACCTTCCCTTCCCTTCCCCTGGAAAAAACCAACCAACTACAGAACAACTTCTGGAGAAACTGCCCATGGGTAGAGAAGGGGGAACAGTGGGGTTTTCTGTGGGAAGGTTTACCTCCACAAACACACTAGAGAAATAAATAAAATAAAAATAAATAATAATTTAAAAAAAAAAAGAGGGTTGAGTGATAGAAATAGGAAATCAGGAAAAGATTCAATGGTGGCAGAGACTAGCAGTGCCCATCCTGTGGGCTCATCCCTGCCTGACAGTGGGGCTGTAGGGTTGGGGCATGGTGGGGCAGGTGCCACATGGCTCAGCATGGCAGGGGACAGCTTGATTAGGCATACTTCTCCTTGGATAAATGTGAGCTTGGTTCTCTCAGGAAATTCCTTTCATTTTCACCACAAAAGTAATGTCTGTGTGCACATATATAAAATACATACGTATGTACACATATAAATATAGATATAAATATATCAGAGGTGGATGGACACTATTCGTTTTCCTTTGTTAATGTCCTTGCTGTCCACTCAGTCCCGGCACAACCATGCCATGGAGAAGGCAGATGCTGCTGCTAGTCTTAGGGGGAAACAGCTTTCCCTCCTTTCCCAGTGCTTCCTATTTCCCATGGGGAAGGACCCTCTGCCCCCAGCTCCAGAGGTCCACCACAAATTTCACACCAGTCCCCTAGGCCTTGGGTGTTTGGTACGTTGTGTGGGGTTCCTTTTTTCCCCTACTCTCCCATCCCACCAGAAACCCCACCTGAAAACTCCAACACAGACCATGCCTGCACAGGTGTCTCTTCTCCAGTCACATGGGGCCAGGAAGGAGGTGGGGGTGGGCTTGTGTTTTGATTAACATGGAAATAAAATGCAGAAATAGCAGCAGTACTTAGCTTCATTGCTTCAGTTTAGAGATTTATTGATGGGGAGATAAACACTAGGCTGGGGTCTTGTTCAGTAATTCACAGTCCCCATCAGTTATTACCAAATGAGCAAATCATTTTTCTTAGAAGTCAGAGAGGGGGAAAAAAAATATGGGAAAAAAGTGATTTTTTAATAGGTTGCTACCCCCTGCCCCAGGTCCAGATCTCAGGCTGCCTGCCCAGCTGCCCTGGTTGGGGACCTACTCTCCAAGCAAAACTAATAAGAGGTTTATTATGGATTTGTGCCTCTTAAAATGCATGTGTCTTGCTCTGCCTCCCTCCAACTTTCTTTTGTATTTTCCTACTTGTTCCTATCCAAAATTTTTTATTTTGCATTTTCTATTCTTTGCAGTCCTATTTTCCCTCCTTCAGAAGCAAGTAGGTATGGATTTGAGCTGGAAAGTGCTGCCACAAGATGACATTGTGCTACTGCCAGGGAAAACAAATGGGCAAGATTGAGAAGGGGAGTATAATTGTTTACTAGGGGAGTATAATTGTTTACTAGATGCAGTAATATTGTTGACGAAAATGGGGACTTTGGAGGTACACAAACCCATTCTCAGGTCTGAAATGGAAACACCAAACTAGTAGCTAATTGCAAGGTAAATACTAAAATGTAAGCAGATATCTTTCACTGAAGTTCTGTGAAATCCAAGGATTTGAGTTTGTTGCTTCATATTCAGTGTCATTAGAAATACCTTGAGACATCCACACCATAGTGCCAAAAAATGATCAGGGCCTCCTGAACATTCATATTTTACTGGACCACCAGGAGAGGTCAGGTGAGAAATCCTAAGGCATCCTAGAGGTAGTAATTACCTACATTTAGGTGGCTGAATTGAGCCTTAGAATCACAGAATCATAGAAATATTTAGGTTGTAAAAGACCTTTAAGACCATTGAGTCCAATCATAAACCTAACACTGTCAAATCCACCACTAAACCAGGTCCCTAAGTGCCATCTTAGTGTATCTTGAATAGGGAAACAAGATAAGAACAAAACAGTCTCAAAAAAAAATCTGTATACTAGAACCTTTTGAGTAAAATTCTACACTTCAACCGAAGAGAAAAAACCAAAACAAAACTCGCCCAACATTCACAGAAGGATCTTCCCCCAGTTGCTTAAACACTTTTTAAACAAAGAAGCTTAATTGTTGCTTAAGTGTTGATAATTTTGTGTTTTCTGTTTCTTCAAGCGATTGGGTTGATTAGAAAGGTCTTAGAGTCAAATGAATAAAAGCAGGAGCAATTATGAATCTTACAACACATCAGGGAGGTGATAAGTTTTTGATAGAACTGGAGCTAGAACTGTGCTCCCTTTTGTTCATTCAACAACTGCTGAGTAGGAGACACTGAATTGAAGACACCGAAAGAGTGAATGGAAGTGCCTGGAGCCTGCTTATCCTGACAAATTTTCTTTCTCATGTCATCCATTTCCCTGTTCTGAAGTTGAAACAAACCCTTTTTCTTGATATGACGTTGAAGTAGACACCCGTGTAAGGACAGTGCAGCTGCAGAATAGTAAAATATGGCTGATGGGAAAAACTTCTTAAAGATTAGTATCATCAGTTAAGACTTTGTGACCAAAATCTGTGCCTAGGTCCCCCAAGTCTCCTGAAGTTGTTGTGGGTTCAGGACAGGGTTTTATACAGCCTTAGTAGAAAACTGCCCATCAATATTTTAATTCAGTATCTTTATGTTTGTTTGTTATCCCCCAAAGTGTTGTTGCTGTTGACACGTACATCTTGAAAGATACCTGGCAGAACAGCCAGGTCTGGCAGATGGGCAAGGGACAAAACTACAAGCAATGCAGTAATTTAGTATTTATGATGAAGATGATTTGCAGAGACCTCTAACTCAAAAACTAATGGATCCCTTGAAAAACATGTAGAGTACTGACAATAAAAGAGATTTGCACAGGGACTGGTCCTGATGCCTTGTAAGATAATAAAAACAGATAAGACTCGATTTTTCAGACAGAGATAGCAGAGCAGAACCACAAAAGCTCCTGGTTATAGCAGGCTGGAATTATTCTCCCCTCAGTTATCATGTAGAACAACTTGATGAAAGGAAGATTTATTACTGTTTAAATATTAGTGCATATAGTTTCATGACCATTGCACAGACATTCAGTTATAGTAAAGAACAAGTAGTTCTTCAAGTAGTTCTTCCTATTATAGTGTCACATGCAATGTTTTCAAAGGCAGATTTAAATACAGGCCAGTCAACCCCAAAAAAAGACAGGGAAGGAGCTGTGGTCTCTGAATACAGGTGTCACTTCCAGGAAACCCTGTCCCATGTCAGAGATGGAGATGAGGATGTGATAGTGCTTTAGGCACACCAGTAGAGGAAATATTTTACAAATTATTCACTAAAGTAAAATTGATATTTGTGTTATAAAAAATGCATTCTCTTTTTGATTATGCTAAATGACTTTTCTGCATACTTATTTTTTGTGGGCTTTTTTGGGGTGTGTGTGCTTTTTTTCCTTTTTTTTTTTTTAAATGTATTTCACTTTTGTTTTAATTGTTTTCTATCCAGTGGCTCTGACTGTCATGCACCAGGTGCTACCTTGCTGTGTTTCAGCTGCAAACTGTTAGGTGGCTTTCCGAAAAACATGAGATTTCATTTGCATTTTTTAAAAAGCAGAGAAATGTTTTACAACTAGTAAAAACTTACTTTTACAAAATCTGACCTTTGACCTGAGGGTGTTGCGAGCCCTCATCCATGGGGTCAGAGGAAGAACAATAAAATGACCACATAAAACATTCTGTTTCCAGTATTTTTATTTTTGGTAATAAACAAAGATCTGTTAAGTGCTGCATAGAAAGTAGACAACTAAAAATGCATTTTGTCCCTTGTACTCCCCTACCTCCTGCTTTGCAGAAGAATTTGCCAGGCTGGATTTTGTGGCCTGTGCTGTCAGATCTTCACACAGCAAGTAAATTTTCAGGCACTAGGAGAAAGGCAGCTTGAAACATCTGTTGAGAGAGATTCCATCCCCAGTTTCAGTGCTTGGCTTTCCTCCTAAAACTGCAAGTGACAGTGACAGAAATTAGTCACAACTATGGTGATCATGGATGGGATGATGGTTTGCTTGAGCACACTGAGAATTGAGTATGGACACCACTCCACACCATTTAAGTGCTAGTACTTATAATGGGCTACAGATAGATCCGAAAAAGACCTGCCAGGGCTAGAAACCATGGAAGCCTCGTGTGTACTCTTGCATTCCATACAAAGGCCCAGATTGTTACTAACGTCTGAAAACCTTTGAGTCTTGTAAATCAGTAAGGGACCTAAACTAGATGGATCTGAAGGCTTTATTTCAATGTGAGGTGGATGCAATAGTTTCCAGACCTCTGCCACTGAAATCCCGACATATCCATGCTGTCTTTGCACATCCACTCTGGGAATATCAGAGAATAGTTACTGTGGGGTAGCTGTTTGGTGTCTATGGACAGCCTAGCTGAGTCCCTGCTGCTCTGCAGGAGTGGTCTGCAGACTCCCGATGAGCCTGGTGTGTACTGCCTGCCCTGTCTCTCCTTCTCTAAGTGACTGCTGTGACCATGGTCTCCTGAGGTGCCTGTAGCCCAGCCAACCTTAAGGCATGGTCAGGTTTGAGGGGCTCCATCTGTTTTGGAGAGTGCTTTCTGAGCAGGCTCCAGCCCACATCAGACCTCTAGGCTGCCTGCTCCTTGTGGCCTTGAGGCCATATCTGCAAGCAGTACAGGCATCCCTTTTTCTTTCTCTCTGAGTACTTTTAGGAGGGGTTAATTGTGTTCAATT